CACCATGGCTTGCTCAGTGTCCACAGGCTGAGGGACAAAGCAGAGTGGTGGTTGATGCTGGACTCCCGATAGCAACCCTGCTTTGTGGAACCCCCAACTACACACTGTCCTTCGCCTGGCCCCAGTGCCTCCTCTCTGGGCAGTGGGAGGGTAACGGGGTTGCCACAAGGCTACTGATGCCTCGGCGATTGCAGAAGTGCCCTCGGTGCCCCTGAGCGATTGTTACCACAGCCAGACACAGAAGCCTGTTTGGCAGTAGGCTTGGCCTCTCAAGGGGAAGTGCAGGAGGCAGGAACATCAATCACAAGGCTACTTTGAGGGCAAGGGTCACTTTACAGTAGTCCGGGGCTACCTCCTGTGCCCTGGGCCAGTCGTGGGCTCAGCAGAATGGATGCCTTGTCGGCTGCCCTGCAGTCAGCCAGCCCTTGACTCATAGCGGCCTCAATGCAGAGGGACCAAAATGTTGCCTGGTCCTGTGTCACCTCTCCACTGCCGCCCCCCATGGAAGATGGGGATCCAAGCCGGGCTCTTGCATGGATGGTGAGGGTCCTACCAGTGCACCACTAAATCTGCCCAGATAGGTCTTGCCTAGTTTCAAACCCATGTGCTGCCGGGGAACACTGTACTCCATAGGGGTTTCATGGCAAGAACTTTTCCATAGCAGCCAGATCTTTCTTCCAAGGAACCCTTGGGTGGGTTTGAACTGTCGACCTTTTGTGTAGCTGAGCATGTACTCATGCGTGCCACCCAGGCAGAGCCCTGTTGTTAGGAGCCATCAAGTTGGTTATTGCTCACAGCAACCACCTACTTTTCCTGAGGAGAGCCTGGTGGGTTCGAACCAGTTGCAGTTATCCCACCAACACTTGCCCAGCAGCGTCGCCAAGGCTCCGTGGAGCTCGAAACAGTGGGCGCTGACAGATTTCTCCCTAAGTTGCTGAAGAGATGACCAGGGGTGAAAGCCCAGGACTTGGGACCTGCTCACGTTCACTGTTCAGAGCCCTATCCCTGGATCGCCCAGTCACCGGAGCCCACATAAGCCCACATAAGCCATCGCGCTGTGACTCTCTGAGCCAGCAAGATGTAACCTCCAATGGCGGGGCACAGAGGAGAATGCATGCAACTTTGATGCGGGTGGGGGAAGAGAAAGCTGGGGCTAGTCACTCTTCAACATGGAAACCCAGGGGTTTGGGTCAAAGAGTGTAGGGCTGAAAGAGAGGAGGCGAAACAGAGCCCAGAGGGGGGTGGGGAGAGAAAACAATCAGGCCGTCCCCTCCTTTCCCGACTCTGCTGAGCCACCTGTCACCTCCTGCCAGCCCAGCCCTGCGTCTAGGTCCCACCTGAAAGAGAAATGAGAAAGAGGGCAGAGGGCAACAGGTCCATGCTGTGTACCAGGCCTACTCCTCCTCAGAGCTTCCCAGGGCTCCCGTGTGCTAGGGATGACAGCTGATAAGCCTGCACCCTCTGGCTCCTTCTCCAACCCGACTTCTCTCCCCCTTCCTTGTTCATCTGTCTCCCATGGACAGGCTGCCCGTGTCATGGACCCACGGGCTCGGGCTGCTTGCACTTGCTTAAATCTTTGTTTCCGCGTTTTACGTTTACTTTGTCCTCTTGTTCAATGTCACCTCCTCTTGAAGGCTCCCCCGACCATGTTATAGAAAACCATACCTCAACTGCCTGGGGGACTCGGTGTCGGAGCCTACGTCTTTGCTGCCGGGGTCAATCCTGACCTTTTATTCTGTATTCAATCACTAGTGTCAAGCCTTCCTCTCTTATATCTCTCAGTTCCTGATCCTTCCAAAGATGACTCGCACTCTGCCTTCCGACACCATCGGTCATTCCTCCATGTACCACTGACGCACAGGGACATTTACCATGTTCAGGCATCCAGGGACTTGAGCCCAGCTCGGTAGAAGATGCATGCACTTGGCATGAAGCATTTGTTGAGGCAAATTCATTGATTCTGAGAGGCAAAAAAAGGTGCCTTGGTGACGTAGTGGGTTATGAGTCAGACTGCTAACCTCAATGCCAGCAGTTCAAAGCCACCAGCCACAACGAGGGAGAAAGATGAGGCTTTTTACTTATAAAGAATTACAGGAATGAGGAGGGCAATAAATGTACAAATGTGCTTTATACAATTGACGATGTATGGATTGTGATAAGATTTGTATGAGCCCTTAATAAAATGATTTAAAAAAAATAATGACAGTCTCAAAAAACGCACAGGGGCAGGTCTGCCTGTCCTCTAGGGTCGCTGAGTCAGGGTCAACTTGATGGCAGTGAGTTCAGTTTGTGTTTGAGAGCATGCACTTACTGGCACCCTTGCCCAGGAGAAAGATGGGCACCAATCCCATGCCTGAAGGTCAACATTCAGGTGAAGAGCCCTTGAAGGAGGACCTCATCTTCTGAGTGGCCCAATAGGGCCAGGCACAGAATAGTGGAGCCCGGTGATGGGATATGATGCAATTACTTCTCAGGCTCTATCTACGGTATATACGCGTGTATAAGCTGAGTTTTTCAGCACATTTTTAAAGCAGTTTTTGTGGTAAAATTAGGTGCCTCGGCTGATATTCGGGTCGGCTTATACTTGAAAGTACACAGTATATGCCAGCCACAACAGTATGTTCCCCCTTAGGCTACTTGCTGTAAGTCTGCTAGGCTGGCCTTTTCCAACCCATGGACCTCCCTGGCTGCTAAGAGGCTGACCAAGTGCTGAAGCTGGTCAGCTTCACTTTGAAAGTCAGAGGGGTATAAACTGGGCAGCAAACTATTCCCAGAAGGAATGTGGCACTGCTACTTTGATGAAGTTGCTGGGCATGTGGGGTACAAGAGTGATGCTCTGCCTTTTACTGGTGCCCCTTTCTCTGTAAACACTGGCAAATGGCCTGCTGGTGAAGTCCTCTCACAAAAGTCAAAAGGTGAAAAACATCCCAAATGTCCATCCATGGATGAACGGATAACCAGAGTGCAGTATATCCCCAAAGGGAAATACTTTCCAACAGAAACGAGGATGAAGTATTGGGATGATGGGCCACATCCGGGAAGTGTTTCCTCCCATTGCGCACAGCGTCACCCTGCGCCAGAACAGAGTCAACTGTCACCTAGCAAAACATCAGTGTGAATGAATCCCCCAAAACCTGCTAAGTCAAAGAAGCCCGTCACAATGGGCCACATATTGTCTGAGTCCATGTACGAGTCGGAATTGACTCACTGGCAGTAAAAACTCCGTTGTTTTCTCTGGTATTCAGAATGGACAGAGTCAGAAAACAGAATGGAGGTTGAAAGCGAGGGTGGAGGAGAATGGGGAGTGGAAACGCCTCATCACAGATGGAGGGGCCGCTGACGATGCGATGGACTAAACGGCACTCAGGAACTCATTTGAAAATAGTGAATTCTCTGGTATACGAAGTCATCTCAATTACAAAAAAACACTCTGTGTGTGCTTAATTCTATGGAAAATAAGGAAGGGAGGCAGGTACATCCTTATCAGTTAGAGATATGTTAAGGGTTGATGAGTTAATAAGCCTAAACTTTGCTCTAAAATACTCCAGAAAAAAATGGTGGGGAACAGAGGGGCGGAAGACAATGAACTTGATTAATTTTGAAGCCGGTAACAGGCATATAGGGAAATACCACCACTATCTAGGCTTTGGTGCAAGCTTCGTAATTTTCCCCGACACAAAGTGGTTTTAACTAGTGGTTAATACAAATTAACCCATTTGTCACTTAAATTAGTTTACGCAGCTTGTAAGCCTGAAAGCAATATAGGTCTTTGTAGGAGCTGGCTGCACGGGATAGTGGTGGCTTGAAGGAACCGGTCAGCAAAGCCATCTACTCTATGGGAGGAAGATGTGCCAGGCTGCTGCCATGAGGAGCTACAGCCTTGGGAGTCCCATGAGACAGTTGTCTGCTCCTGTAAGGACTTAGAGCCTCAGAAACTCGAGGGAGCAGTTCTACTCTGTCCTTTAGAGTCGCTATGAATTGGAATAAAGTTAAGGGCACTGGGTATTGGGTTTTGGTATCGCTATAGATCATGTGCCTCCCGCTCATTCCCAAGCCGGAGAGCAGGGCCCAAACTCCTTAATCTGTTGGTAAAGTTGGCTGACTGGCCTCTCTTCCAAAGGTCAGATCACACAGTCGTGGGAGGAGAGTGGAGGTGCTCAAAGCTGTCCCTTCCTGAAGGGACCATGGGGCTTTGTGTGTCCCAATGTTGCCATCCACCCTCTTCGAACACTCTCGTGGAGAGGCGTAGTCCCTCTGGGCCCAATGCCCTCAGCAGATGGGAAAATGGGCCTGCTGAATGCCTTTTGCTTTTCATTCCCAACACAAAGTTGGAGCCAGTGGTTCCACTAGCATCAGGGTCACCCAGTGTAGTAACTCGTGATGGCACCTCCTGAACTCTGAACCTCCTTAAATGCCAGACCATACAGACTTTTAGTAATGTTTATTATCAGCTTGACTCATAGAATAATATGGGATATAGTTGTAAGTTCCTTATAAGAGTTCTTATAATGTACGAATAACAACAACAAAGCCGTTTTGAAAAATCTTTCTCAATTGAAATACATTATTCATAACTGGGTTGAAGTGTTTTCAACCTTTCTCCTTCTTTTCCTTTAATTACTGCTTCTGGAAACACAGGGAATCTAGGACAGATGAACCCCTCAGGACCAGGGGTGACAGTGGCGATACCAGGAGGGAAGGGGGGCATAGAAAGGGGGAATTGATCACAGGGATCTACATATAACCTCCTCTCTGGGGGATGGGCAACAGAGGGGTAGGTGAAGGGAGAAGCCGGGCAGTGTAAGATAAGATATAATAATAATTTATAAATTATTAAGGGTTCATGAGGGAGGGGGGAGTGGGGAGGGAGGAGGAGGGAAAAAAGGAAAATGAGGAGCTAATTCCAGGAACCCAAGAGGAAAGCAAATTTTGAGAATGATGAGGACAACAAATGTATAAGTGTGCTTTACACAATTGATGTATGTATGGATTGTGACGAATTGTATGAGCCCCCAATAAAATGATTTAAAAAATAATTACTGCTTCAGTCTCAAAAAAAGTTATTAGAAAAAATTCTAATGAACACAAAACTGTAGCTGAAACACCAGAACATTTGACACAACTCGGTGACTATAAAACCCCAGCAGCAGAGAACAGCGAGTGCTTACAGCACATGCAGAACCTTGTGATTCAAAGCATCCTTATCACTGGGTAATGATGACAGCGCTGACCACTTTAGGATGTTCAAACAGGTGATGAGCATAGAGTTTGGGCATGTAAGCTGGGCTCATGAAAATTTTTCTGTTGTTATAACTAGAGAGACTGCTGTATAAAAAATAATAAGTATCTGTTGGAACATTGCCCAAACACTTTATCGACGGTCACGTTGCTGTCACACTGACAGGGTCACTCGGCATGGCCCACCCCCTCTGTACCCTACAGTTGATGTCACTGGTTGCCACTGATGAATGAGGGAAGAGGTGGAGAAGAGGGCTATGTTGCTGCCTCCCTCCCTGCCCTGCACGGTGACAGGGATGGAACAATGAACTTCACCTTCCAGGACACGGTTCTTGGGGCAATTGACTAAAGGTCCATGGCATTCACCTGACAAACAGCACGAGGTTACTTACTGAGTCTCTGGGATCTGAACTCTAATAATGAAGGTTGATATTTATAGCTAAGCAAGCTTTCTGTTTCTTCCCATAGATCTCATCTTAGCACAAGACACCCTGCGTTCCTGTTCCATGCACACTGACTTGCTGTAGGCACACCTGGAGTTGACTTCCTCACCTGCCTGTGGAAATATAAGAATACCTACCTTCCTATGTCAGAGCTCTAATTCTAAGGCTTGGATGAGGCTGCTGGCAGACAGGGTTTGGTAAGTGAAAAAGTCAATGCAAATGAAAAGTCATATTACTTTCTGTGTTCATTTTTAATCCTGGCTTCTGCAGCAGGAAAACTCCAAGCTGACTTAACCATTATGACAAATAGCACCCAAGGGCTGCAATCCATAAGGTGGGTGGGCGAGTAGTGGGACAGTGTACAGATTTATCATCTCAAATCAATGATCAGGCATCTCCCCAAGGCTAGCATGCCTCCCTCGGGAGCAGGGAAGGCTACAGTTTCCACAGAGGAGGGCTCATTCTCTAACTGCTTTAAAAAGCCTGGCTGCCCTGCCAGTGCTCAGTCCTGAGGGGAAGGGCAGAATGAATGGTTAACCGGAGCCCTCAGGGTCATCCTAGCTGGATGCTTCTGCAAACCACTGAGGATGCCTGGTTCCTGGCTTGCTTCTGGGGCTCAGAACTTCAAGCCGGGCAGGAGCTCCTCACTGCACATTCCGTTGAGCAGCTCTGTCAGGGACGCACTGGGGTCCAGGCCATTTGGGTGCCCGCTCTCCAGCTGGATGCTGCCCACCAGGTCCTGGATCCACTGTAGGTCTGCCGAGAGCTCCTGCCTCAGGTCCTCAAACTGTGCCTGCAGGTGGTCCAGTTTCCTAGCCACGATCCTAAGGCTGGAACCCGTGGCCCCAATGTCTTCACACAGGTGCTTCTTCAAGGCCTCCACCTTGCGGAACTCGTACCTCAGCTGGGACAGGTGGTGGCGAGCGCTCTCACTCTCCTCTCGGTACCACGCCTCCTTCTCATTGAAGATGGAGACCAAAGCCTCCACATCATCTTGGAGAGTGTCATGGGCCCCCGCCAGGGAGCGGCACCCCTGGTCCACCACCGCCACGTTCTCGACCACTCGGGCAAAGCGCTCAAAATTGATGTAGGTGTTGTTGGGGGGCATGCTGGAGTGACATTTGATGGTGTACTCTCTCAGGCGCTTGGTCTTCAGCTGGGTGGGCTCTGCCTTCTGCTGTTCGGGGGCTCTGACTTCGCGATCCGACTGGTGGGTGTTCGAACAGAAGCACCAGGAGGTTAGTTGGTCCCATGCTTCAGGGAAGAGCTGGAGGCACAGACATTCACACTGCAGGCTGCAGGCGAGAAGGACTGGGGTGGAAAAGCACCATGCAGGGGTGCTGCTTGCATGCTCCCCTCAGGGCAGGGTGGTCCATGGCTGTTAGACAGGGTCTCCACACACATAGCATTTAATGGGCACTCACACAGACAAGCAGGCTACAGGCAGGATACTGTTGGGGTTCCACAAAAGGGCCGGGCACACGAGGCCACAGCTGAGCAGCGGTCTCCCTCCTTTGGGACTTGCTGTCCCTTGGCCTTGGCAACAGCATGCTGAGCAGGGAGGCAGCCCCAAACACTCCCTGGCCCCGTGCTTTGGGCCAACTCCAGACGTGGAGAGCCTTGGTCTTCCTCCTCTTTCAAGGGGCAGATGAATGGGACCTTATTCCTGATTGTCTAGCCCCTCCGTCTCCCACGGGCTTTGAAAACACTCACGGACAAACACAGTTGCCATCAACTCAATTTCAACTCCTGGCAAACCACGTGTGTCCTACTGAAACGGTCTGTGTACAGTTTTCAACAGCTGTGACCTTCCAGCAGCAGGCTGCCAGATGTTCTTCTGAGGCACGTCCAGGTAGGTCCCAACCACCAACCTTTCAGTTGGTAGCAGAGAACGTGACCATTTGCACCCCACGGGGACTCCCATGGGCCTCTACTCTTTCTCACTTACACCACCTACAGGTTCATAGTAATCCTCTCGGCCTCCTCATGTAATGAGTAGAGTGAATGGCAAGTCATATGGCGATGTCCCTGAGAGTCCTGCTGCTGGTCAGTCCCCAGGAGGCCGGAATCCTGACTTCCTAACTCAGACCCTCCAAAACGTGCTTTCCCTGCAGGACTCTGAGAAACCCGCAGCTGGGAACTGGATCACAAATCCACTGGGCCCTGGCCCCTAGCCCAGAGGGATGGAATCGCCCTGACAGAGACTGTCTGTGGGGGCCCCTGGGGACCAAGGAAATGACTGGATGATTGGGGTGTCCTCCTCTACTCAGAGCCCTGAAGTCAGAAAGCAAGAAGCCTGGTTTCAAAGTTGGAGTTTTTAACTGCTGCTGAGCTGTCTCTACAACCTGGAGCCCTGGTTTCTGCATGGTGAAGTAACGGTGGATTTCTGTCCTCCCACAAGGAACACTGTATAAGCTGGCCTCCCTCAGAGAATAAAAAGGATGATGACTGAGGTATGTGAAGGTTCCTAAGTCACCCAAATCTCTGAAATACAAGCCTAAAGTAGCAGGAAGCTTTGGATACAAGAGCAGACCCTTGGGCTGACTTCAGTCTGGCTTTCACATCTGTGACGGAGGCCAGTCAGGGTGCCAAGCACAGGCTTCTCAGCAGACCCTGTAGAGCCAGCCGCTGCCAAGCCCACTCGAACCCACCCCCGAGCCCTTACCGTAATCCAGGGGTGCCTGAGAGCCTCTTGAATTGTGAGTCGCTTCCTGAAACAAGGAGCAGAAAACAGTGATGGCCCATGAGGACAGAGTCTGAGAGCAGAGTCTTCAGGGTGAGCTCTTTGCAGTCCTGCATGTTGGCATTCTCTGACCCCCAGATCACTCGCTGCCCTTGGCTGCTCGATCTCCAGGGAGGGGGACTCTACCTGGCATTGTCCCGAGTCTGAAAAGCCAGGGTCCCTCCATAGGAGGAACCCACTTTGGCCCTCTCTGGAGTCTGTGGTACCACAAGGACATGACCTTCTAGAGCAGTGGTTCTCAACCTTCCTAATGCCATGACCTGTTAAGACAGTGCCTCATGTTGCAGTGACCCGCCCCCCAACCATAACATTATTTTCATTGCTACTTTATAACTGGCATTTTGCTACTCTTATGAATCGAGCAACCCAACCCCCAAAGGGGTCGAGACCCACAGGTTGAGAACTGCTGTTCTTGAGTCTGTGAGGAACCTCTCACACACCCCTATCTAGCAACCTGCAATTCTCTGCGCATCTCCTCCAACTCCTAAAGATATAGAGCTCACCTTGGGCCATAAAGAAGGGGTCTGATTGGCAGGGGTAGGATTAATGTGTTTCCCATTTTCCACTGTGCTTGCACTGCCCCCCTGGGCCCACTTCCTCTCCCACTCACTTGAATGGGCTTGAAAAGCCTGTGGATTTACCTTTCTATCACTTAGTATTAGTGTCTTTGTGACAGACTACACAAGGTAATGTACACTAGAGAAATTCAGGCGAGAATGTGCCCCGCCCCGCCCCCACCCCTCCCCCCAACAGACACACATGTGTATGCGCAAGAGTATAGTTATTTGCATTTCAGCAGAAGTCAGACTTGAGAAAATACTGTGAATGCCAAGTCTTGGCCAGTCTCTGCTTCTCAGCACTTGCCCACATCAGACTGCAGTGGGACAGTGGGGCAGAAAACAGCCCACGGCAGAGCAAGCAGACTGACCTTTCCTTGGAGAGGCCTTACTGTGTCCTCTTACCGGGTCTCTTTAACCAGAAGTTTCCGAATGAAGTCCTTGGCCAGCTCACTGGTCTGGCTGAAGAATTCCTCATCGAAGTCGTAACTCACTGCTGTGATATTTGCCAGTGTTTCCTGCTTCGTGTCTCCCAGGAAAGGGGAGGCTCCACTTAGGCTGAGCACACAGAGAGGGAAAGGAGATGAAAACTGGGGGGTTGGGACTGGGGAACCCTGACCTAAGCTGTTGCATGGGGCTAAGAGGCCCCAAGCAACACAGCCGATTTCCTCTGGGCAGCCAATGAACAGCCTATTCAACTGAATCTAACTCAGCACACCGTTGCGGAGAGCCTACTCGTAGCAGACACGAGTGTCTTCAAGGGACTCAAAGGCTAGGGAAGGAAAGAGAGAGACGTAGTTCTCAGTGATCTCCAGAAGATTAAATTGGAATATAATAGAAGGACAAAGGTCTCAGGACACTGGTAAGAGGAGGACCCTGCGTAGGCTTCAGAGGAGGGGTGATGTTTGCCTCAATTGCATCTTTAAGAGCAGAAAGGTTGCCAGCTGTCAGAGAAGGAGATGGAAGGGTACAAGGCAGCAGTTCTCAACCTGTGGGTCCAGACCCCTTTGGGGGTCGAACAACCCTTTCACAGGGGTCGCCCGATTGATAAGAGTAGCAAAATTACAGTTATGAAGTAGCCACGAAAAGTAATTTTAGGGTTGGAGGGTCACCACAACATGAGGCACTGTCACTGCCTTAGGAAGGTTGAGAACCACTGGTCGAAGGTAAGGGAGCAGATTAAGCAAAGCCCCAAAGACAGGGAACCAGCTGGGCCATTAGGGACAGGCAGGGCTGTAAGAGTCCCTCCCAAGGCTTGCCAAGGAAGCCACACAGACAGCGACTTCCAGCTCTACCAACTTCTACCGTGTATTCCAGTTGCCTATACAGATCACTCTCCCTGAACGTCCCGCTGCTCCGGCGTTCCAGTCCCCACCATGCACTCCACGCCTTCATGGATGACATCAACCCAGCAACACGCTCTCGCTAGACATACGGGTCATGTTTGACTCTGCTTTCCCTTTCCTCAGCACATCGAACTGGCCAACACCTTTTGTTGACACAATAACGAAATACCCCTGAACGCCACTCTTATCTCCACTGCCACTTTCTTAGCATCGTGGAAGCCAGGTACACTGGATTAGAAAGGTCTTTCAATCCTGGGATTGAATCCCAGCTCTACTACGCACTAGCTGTGTGACCCTAGATAAGTGACTCAGCTTCTCCGAGTTCCTGTTCCCTCATGTGCAAAGTGGGGAAAACGAAAGTCCTTCTCGCACATGAAGAATGAGAGGGATAATGAGTAAAAAGGTGTTTTGTAAAATCCAGCTCCTTGTAGGAGTTATTATTGTTAGATGGTACTGATGACTAATCATGTTTTTATTGTTATTGTTAGAACACCCAGACATACGCATGCACACACACCACCTACCACTCTCTGTTTTCAATGGGATCACACCTAACTCCTAAGCAAGGCATTTGAGGCCCTTAGATGCTGCTACACACCCCACACACCATACATTTCAGTCATACTTAACATACGCCGGTTTGAATCTCTCTTGTCTAATATCCCACAGCCCTGCAAAACCAGTGGCTCCCTTGTTATGGTGAATGTAATTAATGTCATTGAATTGTACATGTAAAAAAAGTTGCAATGTTTTCTTATATTACATTTCATCACAATTTTAAAATTCAAACATAATTAAGGGCATATATACAGAATGAGTAGCCAGCATTTTCCTCGATGGAGAAATGGAAAACATTTTCTTTGAGAATGGGAACCGTACAAAGATGCCGTTTATCACCACAGTTGCTCCGTATGGTACTGGAAAAACTGGATATCCGTTTGCAGAAAAAGGAGACATGATCTATACTTCACACTATATTCAAAAACTAACTTAGAATGGATCAAAGATCTAAACGTAAAACTTAAGATCATAAGTTCACCGAAGAAAACAGGGACAAACCTGTGGGCCCCAACTTGCGGCCTAAATGGACTATCAAACAGCTTGAAACGCATACAGTTGTTTCCCCGTCTGTATCTCAGAGGCACGTCTGTGCCCCTGCGCCACCTTGACGCCCCATCCTGGGCCCAAGATGGCTGGGTGGATGAGTCTCCCACAGACAGGAGCTTTGACAGCAGAGAAGACGCTGACCAGGACCCGCCCAGGATAGCTTCTCAAGAAAGGTGTGCTGATAGGGATTGTGATAAGAGTTGTATGAGCCCCTAATAAAATGATTAAAAAAAAAAAAGAAAGAAGGCTGTGTTGAATTCAAACTCAGGAAGACTGTGCACCCTGTAGATGCAAGAACACCCTGCTATTTCAACATGTGAACCAGAGTATTGAAGAATCAAGGTTTCAAGAGGCAGCGTCTGAGTTTTCTGGCTCTGATCTGAAAGTACAAGTCAGTGGTTTGCAGCGCGAGTAAGCGTGCGCTCTCTTCTCTTTCCATCAAATTTGGTGGGACCCTTTAAAAAATACTGATGCAAGGCCCCACCTCCAGCAATTATGAATTAATAGAGCTGGGGCGGGGTCTGGGTCATGGCCATGGTAGTCATTAAAGTGCTGACATGTAGTTGAACCATAACCCAGGGCTGGTGAAGCGCCCATCTGTTAGCTGAAAGGTTGGCGGTTTGAATTTGCCAGCTGCTCTGTAGGGGAAAAGACCTGGTCGTGCCTCCTATACAGCTTTCAGCCTAGAAAACCCTGTAAGGCAGTTCTCGCCTATCCTATAGGGTCGTGCTGAGTCACAATCAACTCTATGGCACACTATACCAAGCACTGTGCATCGGGGCTGAGACCCTCTGTCGCAGCTCAGGAGGAGCTTCCCAGGGCAGTCCGGGAGCTGCTGTCAGCATCACAGAGCTGGTTAGTGGCTGCGTCCTGCCAATAGTCCCCATGGTTGAGTGCTGGTGGCCCCGGTCTCTCTGGGCAGTGTGCCAACTCTTTATCACAGTGTGCTATAAAAATATTGTTTTCCACGTGTGCCTTGAGGAGAAAACAGAGAGGAGGCTCTGGTGGGACAAGCAATGACTAAGCAGCTACACACCCGAACCTGTGCTAGGAAATTAGTACAAGCTGGCCCATTTAACCCTCACAACCCGGCAGCAGCGAGGAGTCTGTGATTCCTCTTCTTCTGATGGGGAAAACAGCCCTGGGAGCAGTCACTTGACAAGGCCAGAGAAATGGAAAGTGACAGACTGGTCTGACTCCAGCCCCAGACAGAAAGCAGAGCAAGGCACGAAACCCTGCTGAAGCCTTGTAATTCCCAAGGGCAGAAAGGAGAGACTGGGGGGTGGGGTGGGGGGAGAGCGGGGTGAGGAGAAAAGAGGAGAGAGAACCTGAGACGAGAAGGGACAGGAAAAGAGAGGGAGACAAGGCAGGGCAAGGAGGGCATTTCCGGCTGTCGCAAGGCTTCTGAAGGAAAACAATGCTCTCCCAGTAGAGCTGTCTGGTCACCCATTGGAGGGACATAGCACAGGTTGCAAAGGTGAGGCCCAACACTGCCCTCCCAGCTGGTGTGTGCCCTCAAGTGCAGGGGCAAACGTACAAAGTAGAGCTGAGAGCACTTAGCCTCAAGTGCGCTCTGTGGGTGTCACACAGCTGGCACATGGGGGTTGTTCAGCAAGTCAATCTGTCTGTCTGCCTGTCCCTCTCTCACTCCTCCCAGGTCCCCCAGGTCTAAGGCCCAGGATGAGGGATACTCACAGGATATAGGTGATGACGCCTATGCTCCTACAAAACAAAGGACAGTTAAGTCAGGGGTCGTTAGGCTTCAAGCCCAGCCAGCCCAGCAACAGGTGGTGCTCAGAAGAGCGGTTACTTGCTTCCTCTGCAGTGGCCCCTAGGTGTTCTCTCAAGCCCCATGCCCCTCTCCCACCCCATCTTTGCCAGCAGCCTGGGCAGCATTTGTGGTAATTAAGCCCTGGACACAGAAGCTGAGCCCCAGGCCAGCAGCCTGCTCTTGCTGGCCCTGATTCTGGTGATCTCCTCTCTCCTGACAGAATGAGGACAGTGATAACTACTCATAGCACTGCTGGCAGGACTTGAGAAAGCCAAGCCATGAGGGCGCTCAGTGAACTCTACAGCACTGGAGCCATCTATGCAGGGGACCAGTCATTGCAGTACCCCCAGCCCCAGCAGAGCCCAGAACATAAAAGGCTCAGCGAACAGCTGGTGAGCTGATAAGAGCTGGTATTATGATCACCTTTATCATGGCAGCCCCCCGCCCCCACCCCCCACCCCCCCACCCCCGTCTCCCCTGTGCCTTTGCCTCTGCACTGCTGGCAAAGCTCAGGCCCAATCACTTCTAACTGGTTTCAACTCCAGGCCTGTCTGTTTCTAGCTGCCCAGCTACATGTCCACTTGGCTAAGGCTGCCAGAGGCCCTCAAAGGTGAGTGTAAAGAAAGGTGTTTTCATGGGAACCAAGTCTGAGACCTTCTGCCCTGGGCCACAGGGGCCTGGGTGGACCATGCAACTTACCACATATCAGCCTCCAGCCCCAGGGGCTCGTAGTTCACGATTTCTGGAGCTAAAAGAATCCATATTGAAGAGTCAATAGGAGTGTGAAAATGAGAGGAGATGTTTGTAGGGAACTTTGGGGAATTTGGTGCCGAATGCCTCCATCCCAAGTCCCCACTAAGGGAAATCAGAGCATCGGATAAAAATGTGTGAGGTTGAAGAATTTTGAAGAAAGAAGCTGCTTGTCATCCCACAGAAACCTTTTACCAGCAGACCTTAACTATGAGACGAGGGAGAGTGGGAGCGAAAAAGGAAGACGAGAATGGGAGAGGCACGTGCAAGGGAGATGGGGGCCATTTGCTGCTGGAAACCAGGCAAGTCAGCGCTGGAAGGTTATGGAGCAGAACAGAAGGCAGGACGGGGGATCCACATCTCTGAGTCTGGTGTGGAAGAGTGTCCCTTCCATCTGAGGAGCATGAGGAGATTGTTGGGGCCACTGGGCGGAGGAGCTTGAGATGCACGAGGAACGTCCAGAGGAAGGTGTCTAGAGGGGCAGCGCGACTACTGGGGACTGGACCAGAACTAGCAAAAACTTGCCTTAAGAAGTGCCAGCGTTGGAGTTACCAACCTACAGGTGGAAGCAGGAGCTGTGCACATGCTATGGAAATTAGGAGAGGATGGAAAGTCAAGGAGAAAGGATTCTACCGAGAGAAGCCTGCATGCTACCCAGAGACTACAGCAGACAAGCACTGGAAAATGACTGATTTCACACTTGGTGTAGTGCCCAGAAAGGAGCCCTGGTGGTTACTGATTCCACACTGGATTGCTACCCACAAAACCAACAGTTTGAATCCACCAGCTATGGGAGAAAGATGAAGCTTTCTACTCCTATAAAGACTTAGAGTCTTGGAAACCCACAAGGGCAGTTCTACCCACAAGGGTGGTTCTGATTTGGAACTGACTCAAGAGCAGTGCATTTGGTTTAGGGTTTTTTTCATTGTTGTTGTTTTTTGTTGTTGTTTTTTTTGCGGGGGTGGGGAGGGGTGGGGTGGGGGCAATGCCTAGAAGCAGCCCTGGTGGTGCTGTGGGGATGCTAATCACAAGGTCAGCCTCCAGCTGTGCTTGTTCAAGCCCATAGCCACTCTGCAGGAGAAAGATGAAGCAGCCTGCTCCCATAAGGATTTAGAGTCTCAGAAATCCTACAGAACCATTCGACTCTCTCCTGTATAGGGTCGCTATGAGTCAGGATCAACGTGATGGCAGGGAGTCTTTGGTAGGGTCCAGAAGGAGCTCTGGTAGGCTTGGTGGGTTAAGCACTGTACTGTTAACTCTAATTCAATCTCACAAGTCGTTCCACAAGAGAAAGATGGAGCTGTCTGCTCCTGTAAAGATACCCAGTCTTGGGAACTCTAGGGAGACGTCTACTCTGTCCTATGGAGTCGCTTCTACTGTTCATTGGCTGTTCATCCTTGGTTTTTCATTGTCATTGTCATTTTTTTTTACACAGTGGCCTCTCAGTGGATGTTTTCCCTTTTCTAGTACTGGAACAATATGAATATGATCTTTTCTGTATGTGTCATCTGACGCACATGTGAAAGACTGTCTTTAAGACCTTGATATTCAGAGTGTGGCCTGAGTATAAGGTAGGCACGGAAATCACGAGGAGGCATTTAGAAACTCAGAAACTCTCACAGCAACATGTCCTTGTCGGGATATTCAAACATGTGATCAGTTTATTAGGAATTTAGTTTTGTTATACTGAAGTCATAGTCTAGGACAAATGGGGGGGAGGGGGTCCTTCACCAAAGAGAGTTGTTAAAGCTAGGAGTAGAAATGCTAAATTGTTAGGGTTTACTAATGTTGAATTTTACTTTTTTTTTTAAAGGCATTTGTTTTCGACAGGGATAGTGCAGATTTATGCTCCCCCGAGGGGTAAGACTTCTTTTTGTAGTCACATCCTGATCAATGCTTGGTATTGTTAAAATTTAAATTTAAAATTCTGTCATAGTAGTTATAAAATGCTACCTCACTGTGCTGCTCATTTGTATTTCCCCAGTTTCTAATGAGGTTAAGCATCTTTTCATATGATCATTGATGACGAAGGTTGCCTCTATTATAACAGACCTGGTCATGTTTTATTTCCATTTCCCTATTGGGCTGGGTGGGTTTTCTTTTCTTTCTTTTAAAACTCGGTTTGTAGTCATTCTTTAGCTATTCTGTATTTTAAATCCTTTGTTGGTTATACATATACAAGTTCTCCACGATTTTGAATGATCTTTTATTTTCATTGTGGTTGTTTGGTAAATTTGGCTACATGGATATTGAGAACAGCTGAATGTAAAAACAACAACAACAAATCTTTTCTCAGGTGGTTAGCATTTTGAAGCTTTATTTAAGAAATCCCTACATAGCTTGAGATCATTAAGATATTCCCCTTTGTTTTAATTTAAACATTGTTAAGTTTTTGTCTTTCACATTTAAGTCTTTCCATCTGGAAATATCTGGGTGTATGGAAGAAACAGGAATATATTTCATTTTTTCATATAAATGTCGAGTTATCCCAGCATCATTTATTGAATAATTTGTCCTTTCCTAAGTGGTGTGCAGTGTCACATCCTCTTAATATCTGATTCCTATAATATGCACAGATTTGTTTTGCACCTCTAGTTCACTAGTTTAATATTCTCATTGTAATTTTACAAGAAATAATGATTAACTGGTAGAGCAGGTTCCCTACCTTATTCTTCAAGAGGTAGGGAACTATTCTAGGACCTTTGTTATTCCATATATTTATTTTACAGTCAACTCAGTGAAGTCCTAAAGAAGCTAAGATAGAGTTTTGATTGAAATTGCTTTGTAGTGTAGCGAGCTACACCTTTGGCTGCTAACCTCAAGGTCAAGCTCACCAGTCATTGTGCAGGAGATTCTTCTGCTCCCACAACCTCAGAAATGCACAAGGGCAGGTCTACTCTGTCTTCTAGAGCCACTATGAGTCAGAATTGATGAGATGGCAATGAGTTTGATTTTGATTTGATTCTACAGTGCAACTGTAGAGAACTGAAGGAGTATTCCCCTCCATGAACATGACTGTCTCTCCATTTTATCAGATCTTCTCTCGTATCTGTCAACAGTTTTATCATACAGGTGGAACAGATTTTCTTTTTAGATTTGGTCTTTGGTGCCTTTTTATTTCGATCAGTTGGGTTTAAATGTAATTCACATGCCATAAAATCCACTCACTTTAAACGGACAGTTCAGTGAATTTTAGTTTTATTTGCCAAGTTGAACCACTGTCACCACAATCAAACTTTAGAACATTTTAATCACTCTAAAAAGAAACCCTGAAGCATCATCTTTCTTATTTTATTGTTAACAAGCCTTTTAAAATTTATTATCATTATTATTATTGTTGGAGTAGAAATTGTTGCTTTTTTGTTGGCCACTAGGCCAATACCTCATTAAATATATATTATATGCCATATATATAAATATGATCATTGTGTCTATAATTTAAAATTTTTCTTTGTAGGAAATTATTTCCTTTGCAAACAATTACAGAGTTGTTCTGTCCTTTGAATTGTTTGTTACTTCTATTTAGATTTATTTTCTCATGGGAACCTCCAGTGCAATGTTGATAGCAAGCCACATGGTTTTGTTTCAGATTTTAAATAGATTGCTCTTAACGTTTTGTTCTTACAAATAATGTTTTCTGTTGGTTTTGGGTGGATACTTTTTACTAAGTTATGAAAGTTTCTTTTAATGTGTAGAAAAATTTTAAATTAAAAAATATGTACATCCAATCAAGTATTCCTTTGCTCTTTTAATCTGCTTCTTGGTCAATTACTTTATCCACTGTCTAATGTAAAGACACTCTTACAAGGATGGGGTATATTCAGCTTGGTGATGATTTATTACTATTTGTTCTGTTCTCTCTTTGTACACAATGAATTACCCAAAAGGAAGCATCCAATATGTTAAGGCCTGGACCAACCCAATCAGGAAGGGCACAGTCCTCATCTCTCAATGAGAAAGACATGGGAAAGCATTTGTGTTCATCTCAGACCCACCACACCTCTCTCTACACCACTGAATTGAGTTCACTAATAATGGTTTAGAATTTTTGCATATTTGTTCATAAGTGACATTGGCTTATAAATTATACTTTCTTGTACTATTCCTGGATGTTTTGCATATCAAAGTTGTATTGTTCTCACATAGTTATCTGGAGGATGTTCCTTTTTAAATACTTTCTGTAAGAGAAAATAATATTGATAAAATACTTTAAGTAGCCCAGTACCAGAAAACTAATATAACATTAAAATAATCTTAGCGTTTTCAGAATTTGCCTGTAAAATTATTTGGGTCTGAGTTTTTCTTTATGGGACTATTGTCAACTATTGAAATAATTAATGACTCTTCTTGATATGGTACTGACAAGTTATAGAAATCTGTCCTTTAAATTTTGCCCTAAATTTTAAAATTCTTTTGCATGAAATTAGACAAGGTATTCTATTATATTTATAATTTCTGCTCTATTAGTACTTATGCTTCTGTTTTTTATTCCTGATTCTTTTTATGTGCCTACCTCACTCCCTATTCACTATCATAAGAGATTTACTATTATATATGTCTGTATGTATTTATTCATGTTTTTTTTTGTTTTTTCTAATAAAATCAACTCTTGATTTGGTTGATCCTTTCTATTGTATCCTAGTACAATTTCAGTTTCTGCTGTTGGCAAGTCACACATGTTCTACTTTCTTTGGACTTATTCGAGTGTTCTTTTTCTGATTTCTTAAATTGGATGCTTACTTAGTTCATTAATTTTAAGGCTTTCTTCTTTCCCAATGAAATCACTAAGGTCATAAATTTTCTTTTAAATAATACTTTTGCTACATTTTTGTTGTTGTTGTTTTTAAATCATTTTATCAGGGACTCATACAACTCTACCACAATTCATACATTCATCAATTGTGCAAAGCACATTATTCTAAGTGTTGTTTATGTTATGTTTTACTTTCTGTTATGATTTTTCCAATATTATTTAGAAGTCTGTTTTCTAATGTCCAAGTGTATACAGGTTATGTAATTTTTCACATTTTCGTCATAAATATGGTTGGTATGACATTAATTTCTTGAAGTTCATTGAGATTTCCTTTATAAGAAGTACAAGGTTGATTATGTAAATGTTAATGTCATTAAAGGAAATTTGTTAACTGTGTTCTTTAATGTTTTAATTTTACTAACTTTTGCTGCTTGGTTTATTATAACTAAAATAAGTGTGTTTAAATTTTTCACTATAATGGCCAATTTTTCAATTCCTCCCTATAATTCAACTCATTTTGGTTTTATTGTTTTTTGGGTTTTTTTTTCGTTATTTCATTAGGTACAACTACATTTAGAACTACAACTTCTTGATGAACTATCCTTACATACATACACTATTTATCCTTAAAAATGATTTTTGCTTTAAAATCTAATTTTTCTATTCATATGCCTATCTCAGCATTCTTTTAGTTAATAATCGCCTGTGTATGTATTTTTCCCCACTCTGTCACAATCATTGCATATTCTTACATTTTAGGGATCCATATACATATTACCTGCTGTTGTCAAGTCAATTCTGATTCATTGTAACCCTGTGTGTGTTAGAATAGAACTACACTCCATTGGATGTTCAATGGTTATAATCTTACAGAATTCGGTGGCCAGACCTTTCTTTAGCAGTGCCACTGGGTGGATTCAAACCTCCAACTTTTGGGTTTGAGTCAAGCACAAACTACTTGTGTCACCTAGGGAACCTTGTCTGCACACGTCATAGGTTTCCAAACTTATTTGGTCTAGTGCCTCCCCCTTCAGAAAAAAATAATTGCATTGCACCTCCCTGGCAATTTAAAATGTTGTCAATATAGCCCATAATCCAGAATCAAGTGTAGGTATCTGCTTTTACAGTCCCCCTGGATGGTTCCAGCACCCATCAGGGTGAATTATCACCTATTCGGGGACAACAGTGGTATCCATGTTTTAAAATCCAGAGTACCATCACTACTTAACTACAATATGTAGTCCACTGGTATCTCTTCTCATTATATATGCATGGTATACAAGAGAAAGCTGAAACTATCTGCCCCCATAAAGACTTAGAAAGTCTAAGGAGAATTTCCTAGGGTTGTTACACACCCCTCCTTCCCCCACACTATCTCAAGTTTTTGTTTTTTAATTAATGTCCTTCCTGTTTTCCCCCAACTTCTATATATCTAATGGTTACTCTTAAAATATACTGCAGATATCGAACACGTTCTAACATAAACCAAATTTTCATCCTCTCCTAACAATTCAAGAACCTTGAACACTAATGTTAACTGCTTGCTACTATCTAACTTCACTGTCTTTGGGTTTTCAGCTCTGTCTTTTTAACCACAAGGAGTGCTGGTTGCACAGTGGTTAGGCACTGCCTGCACGTTGTAAAGTCAACATTTCAAACCCACCAGCCACTCTGAGGAAGAACGATGTGGCCATCTGCGTTTGTAACGATTACAGTGTGGGAAACCCTCTGGGGTTGTCTACTCTATCCTATTACAGTGTGGGAAACCCTATGGGGCCGTCTACTCTATTTGGTGGTCACTGTAAATCAGAATTAACTTGATGGCAACAGATTTGCTTTTGGTTTTTTACATTTCTATTGAAAAGGATGATAAAAGAAGGAAACACGTTTTTAATACTTTTCCTTCTTCATCATCATCCTTTTAGATATAAATGTTTGTACTTGCCTAAAGTTTCTTGAAGAAGCCCTGGTGGTGTTGTGGGAGCAGAGCTGGGCTGCTAGCCACAAGATCAGCAGTTTAAAACTGAGAAAGATGAGGTGCTCTATTCCCATAAAGATTGATAGCCTCGGAAACCCACAGGGGCAGCTCTATGCTCTACAGGGTCACTATGAGTTGGCATTGACAATGGCAAGGAGTTTGGTTTGGGTTTGCTTTTAGTTTATTTCTTTGCTCACTCTTATTTCTTTCATTGCCTTCTGAGGTCATTGTCCTTAATCTAGGAATCCGTATTTTACACGTTCTGTTAAAGTCTGTTAGTGGTGAACTATGATTTACTGATTTGTTGTTTATTGTGGTGCTTTGTTTTTCTCTCAGTCTAGAAATATAAATTTCCTGGGTACACAAATTCATTTGCCGGGTTTGGAGGAGACCACACCCTCCCTTCATCCTCCAGACCAGCAGTTCTCAACCTGTAGGTCACGACCCCTTTGGGGGTCCGAATGACCCTTTCACAGGGATCACCTGATTCATAACAGTAGCAAAATTATAGTTATGAAGTAACAACAAAAATAATTTTATGGTGGGGGGGGTCACCACAATATGAGGAACTGTATTAAAGGTTTGCAGCATTAGGAAGGTTGAGAACCACTGCTCTAGACCTTTCCAACTCTCCAACATGTGTGGGTGGATCTGGAAGATGACCTCTTTTTTCCATTCCAGGAAAGCAGAGAAGATTGAATTTATTTGTGGGAGGTAAGTGCAGATCTTCAAAGTCAGCTCATCTAAGAGCAGCACGTGGGGCCAGATGAGAAATTACTTCTGCAGAGGCCTCTCGGCCCCACCTGGCCACCATGCAGCCTTGTGGGCCCTGAAGTTAGCCCCTGACTCCTCACCCTAAAACTAGTACGGAATTTCATCCTCCTCACATCCTTGCCTAGAGGTTGCTCTAGAGGATCCAAGGCATCATCTCTTAGCCCAGAGGCCACACCCCCAGACCTAGGGTCTGTTCCTAGGAGTTCTTGAACTTAGGATCCCAGAGTCCCACTGGGAGACAAATAGACCTAAAGCTCACCAACAAATTCTGGCGTCCCAAAGATGTTCTTGAACTCAACTCCATCTTCGATTTCATGAGCCAGGCCAAAGTCAATCAGCTTGATATGTGGAATGGGAATATTCTTGTCCAACAACATGATGTTTTCTGGCTGGAGGAGAAAAACGAGAAGGAAAGAAGAAAAAGCAGAAGAGATGGTGATTAAAGCACTGCCTTGTGTTTCTCCTTTGAGGCTTGGGGTGGGGTGGTATTCTTTTCAGGTGACTAAAACCAAGTCTACGCTCTTTGTTCCTGTGTCTTCAGTCCCCCTGCGAACTCAAAAGCAGGCAGAGTGCCACGGACAGGTGAGGCCTGGGCTTTACTAAGCCTGCTGCTGACAGAAGGGCAGGCTTAGCTTTAGTTCTCTTTCTGAAGGGCCGAACTATTTACTGCAGTGCCTCTGATTTCCCATCTGTCAAATGGGCCCAAGGAGATACTTGGAGCATTTCCTATAAATAAAACCACTCTATTTTCTGAGGTTGAGGGAAACATGCAGTCTCCCAGGGTATGACTCTTGCCCCTGAGTAGTATATCCTGGGTTTGGAGTCTGAAGGCCCCTTATTAACTCTTAAGCTAGACCTCAGGTAAGTGTACTAGAAACAGGAGTTATGCAGCTTGGTGAGGTTTGCCCCTTTTGACCTTGTTCTTCCTGATCACCTCTGCCCCTTGCTAGTTGACTTCCTGTTGAAAACACTTCCCTGCTCTCAACTAACTGTATGGCCCACACTTCTCGTTTAATTAATTCGACCCGCAATAGGATACAGAGAAAATGCATTTGATTTCCAGGGTAAATAATAGCTTCCCAGGCTATTTGCAGTCCAGAAAATAGCTCTGACATAATAATGTGGGAGTGTGCTGAAGGAAAGCCTGCTTGGGTGCGAACCCAGGGATCTGGGCCCCATGCTTCTCTCTCCCATACCCCTGCTCCAAGTGGGAGGTAGGTGAGCAGGTCTCTCAACTATACTCGTTTCCCTCCTCCTCCTTCCCAATCGCCTTTGAAAATTGAATGTCCTGAAGACATGCATCTACAGAAAAAACGCATGATGCTGTTCCTAAGGTTGAAGTAAATCTGCAGTCTCTCACTGTGTGTATGACTCTTACCCTGAGGCAGTACAACCTTGGTCTGGACTCTGAAGGTCCTTATTAAGCTCTTAAGTGAATTCTGTCTCAAACAGTGAGAATTTTGGGTGACAAGAAACTTAGGCACCACCCATTGATAGCATTTTACACCCTCTATCTTGGCTATAATCAAAAGACAGTTAATAACCAGTGCTGGCAAGGATGTGGCAACTGGACAGCAACTGGAACGTGTTGCTGGTGGTACTGTAAACTGGTGCAGCTACTGTGGAAAACAGGGCGCAATGCCTCAAAGGGTTAAGCATGGAGTTAGCATATGATCCAACAATTCCCCTCCATTTCCTCAAGAGGAATGAAAACATCTATTCACACAAAACCTTGTACACAAATGTTCATAGCAGTATTACTCATAATAACCCCAAAGTGGAAACAACTCCAATGCCCATGACTAGTGAATAAATAAGCACAGTGTGGTCGATAGAATAGACAAGGAATGCCATGTTCTTATGGATGAGTGCTGTAAACCTCATGCTAACTGAAAGAAATTGGTCACAACAGGCCACAAACTGTACGATCCCATTCACATGCAAAAACCCAGGACAGACAAACCTGCAGCAGGGACAGTGGCTCTGAGGTTGCCTAGGGCCAGGAGCTCAGAAGGTGAGAGAATGACTGCTAAGGAGTACAGAGCTTCTTTGAGGGATAGTGAAAATGTTCCTACCCTGATGGTAGTGTTGTTTGCACAGTTCTGTAAATCAATCACTTTAATAAGGTGATTATGATATGTGGCTAACATAGATCTCAAGAATGTCTAAAAATTAAACAAATGTTTTAAAAAGTTGAATGTCCTTGTTTCTCAAAGGGTTGAAGTTTCCCACCTCTGTGCCTTGACTTGCATTTGCTCTCCCTAGAATGCAAATCCTGTTGTTTGTTGTTAGCCGCTATGTGTCAGTCTAACTCAACCCACCGTGTCCCTGAGGACTTTCTTTTTCAACACCCCTGAACACCCACCCTCGCACACATATACACAAGTTCCTTTGCATTTAGTTGAGTCTGTCTTGTTGTGCCATTTGTCCAGCAGACCTCTGCGGAGTTGGTCCCAGCTCCCTGCCGGAGCCTGCATTAGACAAAGGCTTCGGGCCTTGGGTCTTTGCATCTTGGCCCCACTGCAGTGGTGAACTCAAGAGCCGACACCAAGGTTTCGATGGACTGATGTTGAATCTGGGCTGGAGACTAGCCTTAGTCTCCGCCCCACCGATCCCAAATTTCCCGGTTCCCTGAAGTCTCTGTGACCTCAGGTCACAGCAGCTGGAAACTTTCACTCACTAAGGCATTTCCTTTTGCATGTTTTGTTTGTTTATTCTTCTTCCTCTCTGGAGAGTCTCTCAACCTTATTTTAAAAACGTGTCAAAGTCCTTTCTTAAGGCAGAGGTGATCCTTAGGCGTCACTTTCAGAGGTGAAGCGGGGAGGTGAGGAGAGAGGACCAAGGCAGGGGCTAGCTCTGGTTCCTTTGACCAAGTCTCCTGGTGGCTAGCCGCCCATGGACCCCAACTGCCCCCAGACAATGAGCTAGACCTGCCTGCCCTTAGCTTCCCCCTCTGGCAGTTAACTTCTCCCTCCAATCCACATACCTCCCTCAGGCCCCGCTGGGGCTTCTGCCTGGAAGACCAGGATATGAGTCTTCCTGAACACCAAAGTATGCCCAGGACTCAGGCTGCCACCACAGATCACGGAGTCCTGAGCCCCTCTCTGCCTTGGCTAAAGGCAGTCTATCAGGATCTTTAGGGCCCTACAGGGAAGGCAACCAAGGTGGGTTGGGCTAAAGGAGGGTGGGGCCAGGAGTTTGTAGCTGGGAGGAAGAGATCTTGTCCCTATCTTCCAATGCACATACTGGGCCACTGGGCCCGGAGGCACCTGTGGGCTTCATTTAGTCCTGAGACCATGGCCAGGACTCCGTTGTCTATCCCTGGACCTATCCCCAAGATGGAAACAGACAGAACCCTGTCATCGGGGCTCCTTGACACCAAATGGTACTTCCTGCTTTCTTCACAAGCCACCAAGATCTTGCCCAGATGCTCAGTGGTTGACCAGGCGATTCAGACCCCATGTCTGCAGCTTGCTTCTCACGATGCCCACCTCCACCAACAGCCTGACAATACATACCCAGGAGGTAAAGCGGGAACAAACAGCTGCCACTTTTTACCAAGCCAAGAAGCACACTAGTGCCCTGTGCAGGCCTCGCAGCCACACTGGCTACTACTGTTTCCATCTCAGCATCACAGAGGAGGAACCGTAGCCCCAGATTTGCCCAAGGCCCAACAGCTCTTAAGCAAAGTCAAGGTGGACTCTCAGGGTGGTCCCGCCTGTGTCACCACCATCGCATTACCCAGTCTAGGTAAGCACCTTCGATGGAGCCCCAAGCCTCAAGAGAAGGCTTGCTGCCCTAGCCTAATATCTAAGCCATTTGAATCTGTGTGCCAGCTGCCCCAAGACACCTTTCCAGCTCACTGTCCATTGCCTGCCCTACACCCTCTGGGGACAGGGATTTCCATTTTCCAAATGATACACTCCATTCTTTGCTTGACTGCTCCTTCCCTTTTGAAAAACCTCCCCTGGTCCTTTCAAAGTCCACTGCCAGCTCCTCCTCCTCTAAGTGTCCTTTACTCCCTTATTCTTCCGTGAAACTTTCTCTGACCTTGTGCTCCAAGCCCCTGGGCGCTGACACGGCTCAGAGCTGGTTCTAGGGTGCTTCTCACATTGTGACACAGCTTTCCTGAGCACATGGTGGCCTTCTCGGGGAAACTCCGATGTTACGGGCTGGTTTTAAGCTACCAGGAATCCCATGTGGTATCCTGCATGCTGCATTTTGTGTGAGAATGAACTGGAAAAAACCGGGAAGTCCCTTCCCTTGAACCTGTGTACCTTCCTCTTCCACCCCAGGAGGCCTCCCACCACCTGCTGCTAGGAGCTCCAGAGCGCTGCAACAGGGAGCTCTGGAGGGAGAAGGGATTAAGGAAGGCGCTGGCAGGGTAGCTTGAGATTCCAGCAAAACAGCAGCTCCCCATGGGTTCTGTCCAAGGTTCTCTGCTCTCCCCCTCCCCACTTAGGGCAGGGTATTGAAAAAGAACCCAGGCCCCGGTCCTCATAAATTCCACTTCTAGGCTGTGTGTGCTTAAACGACCACTTCCTCTCTCTGGGCCTTAGCCACCCCCACCCCCCGCCCCACCCCCCTTGGCTATAAAATAGACACTGGGCAAGACCCAAAGCCCTTTTGAGCTCTATACCCCACTACTGAAGAGTCGATTCTGACTCATAGCAATAGTGTGGGACAAAGTAGGCCTGCCACTGTGACAGCCCTAGGGTTTTCCGTGCTGTACATCTTTATGGGAGCAGATAGCCTCACCCCTCTCCCATGTAGTAGTTGGTGGATTCAAGTTGTCAGCCTTCCAGTTAGCAATTCAAGGCTTAACTCAATGTTGTAGGCGCTGCGATTTTAAGGCAGTCCAACCTCCCACATTAGCTGGTCAAATTTCCACTGCTCTGGACTCCAAGACAGGATGTGCAGACACTCAGGCCCCCTGTCCCAGCTCAGGAAGGAAGGACAAGGCTGCTGGCCACAGGTGGCTGGGGTTCCAGCCAGACTGCTCTCTGGGGTTGTACGAGCCTGTGCGCACTCCTTGATTTCCTTCAGCCAAATAATTCACCCAAGCCACTGACGTTACCTTAAAGCATTGCTCCCTGCTCCATGGCTGCAGCGAGAGATCTGATGGCCTGATGGCCAGGGAGAGGGATCACATTCCCATAGTGCTGCCACTCCCCAGGCCAGACCTCTCGGAGCTGTGGGACTGTGTACAGCCTGTCAACCAAAATCACCCAGGAGACCACCAGCATCAGGCTCTCCTGGACCTGGCCAGAGGTGTCTGCTGTGATGCCAACAGGAAGCTGGTCCTCCAGTCAGGACCTGTGTTGACGGATGATCCCCATGGACTGGATATAGCATGTGGGAAGTGCCTGTAGGCTGAGAGTGTCCTCAG